GGCTGATGAGTTCCCAGCCCCACTTGAATTGTTACAATTGTTGTGTAGCTTTTAATCTGTTTCTTGTATCTTGTTTTTGTCTTGTTCGTTTTTTGAATCTCCCCCTTCCCCACTTGTTTGTTAACCGCCCTGAGTCTCTCGGGAATAGGGCGGCATACAAGTATAATAAACATAAACATATAACATATAACATAAACAACATGTCTCATCCAAAAAAAATTAAAAATAAATAAAAAAAATAAAAATATGCAAAGGCAGACTCAATGAACCACTGGGAGGGGGGGTTGCCATCAGTTTCCTATGTTTCTATCTGATATATATTACTTCTTTTCCTTAACCTAATGTCCTCAACATATTTTATACTTCCATTGTCACGAAGTCTTTTTTTCATAATCAATTGTCATGAAAGACTTCGAAACTGGAAACCAAGCTCTGATTAATATATTAATATAATATAATATATTAATATAATATATTATATTAAGATGGGATACAGCATTCCAGACATACATTTGCAGGAACATTTATGAAAGTATTTCAAGATACTGTTTTAACAATGTATAGGCCGTAGTGATAGACAACAGTGATAAAGATGCAATTACCTCTAAATTTTAAGGACTTCATATATCATTTATCTGCCTTTAAGTTAACCTTGACTCTTCATAACTTCCTGGACAGTTGTGCCTGCTGTTTTCTTGGCAACATTTTCAAAAGTGACTTATCACTAACCTCTTTCTATGGCTAAGAGAGTACTGGCTGCAAAGTTATTTAGCTGGTTTTGCCTAAAATGATACTAGAACTCTTGCTCTTTAGATTTCTAACCTGAGCCCTTAGCCACTGCACCAAACTGCTTCTGAGACAGTGATACTGCATTTAAAAGTATCTTTAAAAAAAAAATTTTTTTTTTGTAATTTTCTTTTCACACCATACATATTTTGTGGACAGTGTATTGATTGGGTCAAATCTTTTTAAATTAACAATAATAATATAAATAGGTGTGTGTAATCCTATTCTTCCAATTTCAACAATACTATTTCTTTTTATAATCTGTACCTGTCACATGTGTGACATCTATATAATATACGTATATAATAACATTCGCATATTTAAATGCAACGTTTTGTCAAAATTTCAAAGCAATTGGTGAAGAATTTTCAGAGATTAGCGATTTTGAACCAACAACAATTACATTTTTATTTATATAGATTTTCTCATTATCCATCATCTCAACCTTTTTAAAATTCCATTATTTGGTGACTTTTATCAGGATTTTCTCTCTTTCTCTTGGAGTCTTACAGCTGTTTTTAATATTTTTGTGCCTACTGAACATTCCCTTCTGAATACCCTTTGTCTCTTTCTGCTGTATTGTCTGAACACCCATCACCAAGACTTTGGTTTTTTTAATAAGGAATTTTTCTTTATTTTTTTCTTTTAACCTTTCCTTTTTTTGGAGAATTTTTTCTCTTTTTTCTCTTTTCTCTCTTATAAGCTTTTGAGGAGTTATCTGATTGGCTCCTACTTTTAAATTCTTTCTCTTGTTTATTTTTAGCTTCTGTTATCTCATTTTGATTTTTCCCTTTCACTGCTTCTTCTAATTTCTCATCTATTTCTTGGATATCATTCTTTTTCCCCAAATTATTGAGTAACTTCTACATTTATTTCTGTCTTTAAACAATCCCCCTGTCTTATTGTTCTTTAGAGATTCATGCACACTTTTTAACATCATGAGTATTTCTCATTTAAAAGTATATTTCAAACTGCAATAGAAGCCTTGGCTTGCCTTTGAACAAAACTGATATTTGAGGGATCCTTGGAGCTTGCTTGTTTTCTTGCAGACATTTTACGATCCAAATTAGGTAACATTGAATTGAATTTATTTGATTTCTATGCCGCTCAATCCCGAAGGACTCCGGGCGGCTTACAGAAATAAAAAGAAATTAAAGGAACTTAAAAACAATAGGA